AAATTCTCAGTTAAATTCTTTTTACTCAAATATACAGTTTGTTTAACCCTTTCAAGGGGCCGAACTTATCAATAGAAGAACAAACTGAATTTGACTTAATAACCTAAATGGAAATTGCAAATATTGACTAAAGTTAACATAAATTTACAAAATTCTAATATACCATACCTGTAATAAACAATAGAGTTGTGTACTGGTATGTACCTTCATATAGGATATTTGGAGCACTTATTTTGACTACATTCGTATTACGACATAATTTGTTTTATTTTGTGATAAGTAAATCATGCAAAAATAAATTCATAATGCTTCATCCATATTTTTTGGCATACTCGTAATTAAAAAAAAAATATGCGCCAACCTCATTCATTAAATTTTCACTCAAATATTTTAATTTATAAATTCTCAGACAATTTATTATTCACAAAATATGAATGTTCATAAGTACACATATTAACGAATATATTTTTATTGTACATGAATATCCGCACAAATTTAACATACGACACATAATATCTACATCGGAAGAAAATTAAAAATATGTATATTTAAGCAATTAAAGTCAAAAGTAACAAAAGAAAAATTGATTCGGACGTACAAAGGAATGCACATACGAGTATGTATGTATGTATATTGTAACGAATTGATTATATTCAATTAGAAAATCTAAAAATTTATGAAATTGATTTTATTTCGAAAATTTACATTAAAATATCATAAATATTCTAAATTAAATAATTAGGTATGAAATTTGTAAAAATCAAGGCAAAAGAAACAAAATATTTGATTTTAACGTGAACGACATCCAAAGGCGTCGCCAAATTTGAGAATGTTATATCTCGGTATAATCTTAGAAAATTTAGTATATCCTACTTGAATTACACGAAATTTCTATTCATTTTTAATATTTCGGAAAACAATATCAATGAAATTAAAAAATAAATTTTTACAATTAAAACGTTATTTAAATTAATTAGAAAGGTTTGAAAATTTGACCACAAAACAAATTTTAAAGATGAAATAGCAGGTGATTGTAGCGATTCGATAGAGCCGATGTGCGTTACAGGAAACAAATAGTTATCGCTATTTTACGACAACATTATAAACCAATAGTCGATAAAATCAATAAATATATTCAACAAAAAAGCTTTTCTTCTTATTTCTTGATAAGTTTGAATAGCTTTTTTTACGTTATGAAATTTATCAAAAATAACGTATCTCACACGATAATTTTTTCATAATAAGGACCAATATGTATTAGCACAATTATTTTACTCATTGAAAGTTGGTAGTGTGATTCTGGTTCTATTAGTTTAAATCATACATAAAATATAAGAAATCATATTATGTACGAAAAACGTTTTTCTACTTCATTAGACACTTAAAAATTCACACACTTATTTTCATTATATTTTTATTTTTATTACCATCACTTTGTCATTTTTTTTTCTGGCAAGACTCGTATGAAAAACGAAATGAAAAATAAATTTTCTTTGCGGTAAAAATAAAAACGGAAAGAATAAATATGAAAAACCGAAAAAAAAAAAAAATTTTTTCTGGTTACTTATAAAGTTTTTATGTCAACAACTTGACAAAACTTATTAATATTAATACGGTATTATACGTACATGTGTAAACTAAGTGTACATATGTACGTATTTAGATACATACTTATTATAGAACAGTATATCTAGAGAAATAGTTACATTATACGACATTCTAGGCAAATAACAATTCATCAATTATGTCACGTAATTTTTGTAAGGCACAAACATATTCGAAAGTTGATATAGATATATATTCATAATTATAATACATAATGACAATAAGGAAAGTTCCGGACATTCAGGGTCATATTCAAATTTTCATAAAATAAATAAATTGAAAAAAAAAATAAAAGTTTTTCTCTTTTAAAACAAAAGAAAATGTGCCATCTGCTGAAAAATAATACTTTGTAATAAGCTATAGAAGCTTTCAAGAAAGAATTAACTTTCTAAAACAAGTGGGTCTAAAACAAACTCTAAAAATTTATTTCTTGTTTAATATATTGACAATGTTTCATTTCTTCCTTTAAAAATGTTGTAACTGGAAATATAATTTTGGAAGAATTTAAAGTTATTTATATTAATAAATACAATTACATCCGCAATATAAGAGTGTATAATATCGAGTATTTAAATTCGCCTATTACATTTAATTTATAACACAAGTTCATTTAATTTAATATTTTAATTGATAATAGTCATTTCCTCGTCATAATGTTCTTATTATTAAATATAAATTTTAATTGAATTATATTAAGTGTTTTGTTGGCACTAAGGTATTAACTGAGATTGAGATATAGATTGAGAAACCAAAATTATAAAATTAGCCATCGTCAATATTTAATTATATATATATATATATGTATATATATATATATATATATATATATATGTATCTGTATATACTTCACATAATATAGTTTAAATAAAAGTATAATAATTAATGTTTTTGTCAATAAAATATTAATAAAAATAAATTTAAAGTTTTGGGTTCCTCATATTTCAATTCACGATTATGGAATCAAAAAGCTTTGAATTGAAAACCCTTGCAAACTTAACTAAATTGGAATTTTAAAACCCCTGTCTTAGAACTTAACTAATGAAAAAAAAACGAATAACAAAATTTGTAAATTTCAAAAATATAAAATTAAAATACAAATTAAAAGAAAGAAAAATTTTAAAAATTTTATTTTAAAAACAAACAAAAATTAATGAATGAAATGCTTCCCCACCTGTATTTATGGATTCATAATAAATTTTAAAGGATAACATTATTTATTTATTTAGATTTAAAATATTTAAGTGTTTTTGTTATTTATTGTTTTCAAAAAAAAAGAAAACACAAAAATTATATTTTATGTACAAATTTACAACAATGACGGATAAATTACTCTAGGAAGATTTTAAATTTTTAGCTCACCAAAAGGAAATTTTTTCTTTCGTTTAGATACAAACTTGTTCTAAATATTAAATTAGTTCTAAAAAGGTTTTAGAAATTTTAGCACTGAGTTCGAATGTACATGTAGAACAGCAAGTAGGTTTCCCATTCCAACAGGCTCATGTTTTAATCAAAGTTTTTAAGATTTTTTAATCAAAGTTTTTTAAAAAAGTCAAAACTCGAATTAGCAACAAGGTTTATGTAAAATTTAGTTTTATTGTATAAAATTGCAAGAACATCAAAATACATTAGTTTAATATTTGTAATCTCTATATAATCAGAGCTATTAGTATTTTATAAATAAATTTTAATAGTGTAGAATATACTTATTGTACAATATCGATCAATCGCAAGAATTGCTTGAATTTCAAAAATATTAATTTAAAAAAAGGAAGAAAATGATGATAAATGTACGAAAAATTTTTTCTAATATATTTTATCAGAAAAAATTAAATCAATTTAAGCACGTGCTTGTTCTCTTTGAAATTTATATACATAGTTATACTGAATTTTTTATTAATGAGCGAATAAAAATTCGAACAGTAAAATTCAAAAAATTGCATGGTCTGTTCAGGAATCACATTTGAAATTTAAGTAATTAAATACTAAATTGTTTCTAACTTATGTTTTTAATGTATTACAAAATATTAAAAAGTAAGAACTTTCCATTTTTATTTTACAGCTTTTAAAATTTTCTAGTTAGATTTCATTTTATAAGTGGAAGCGTAAAACTGTTTTTGTTAAATTCTTTAGTAATTAAAAAAAATGCAACAAAGCATAAGGGCTTATAAATTAAATATTTACATTTTTAAATAAAATAACGCAATAAATCCGGTATTTACTGCAACACAGTAATTATCTAAAACGTCCTTTTTTAACCTATGTAAAAAAAATCAATTCTTTTTTACTCATCCTATATCTTTTCTCAACCCAGTTCTTTGAGTCGTTTGATTTTGTTATCCATTTTTTTAAGTAGAGAAAAAAGTAAGTTAAAAAGCACTTTAATTTTATATAAAATTTTTTTCTTTTACACTATGGTACCAAGAATATGTCATGTTAGATATACTAAGCACGTTTAAAGTAAAATATATACACCAATGTATGAATACACAACATTTCAGTATTATTCATTATTATCCTCCACAACATAGTACATAAATATATAAATATATATATATTTGTTCTTGTATACAGATTATAATATGTATAGAAAAAAATATAGAAAATATAAATATAGAAAAATGTAGAAGAAAAAGTGTTATACTTTTAACAGCTTTAGGGGTATTTTTTACTTCATTTAAAATGAATGTATATTTAATTTAGCAATTCTTTCTTTCTATTCCCTTTATATTTCATTTCACATTCTATATTTCGTTAAGTCCTAATTATAACCGATTTTTTAATACTTTTTAATAACAAAATAAACGTTTTAATTTGTTCTCGCAATATTTTTACATAAATAAAATTGTATATTTAGCATTAAGACATTTTTTGTTCAAAAAAACTTAATTTCAAAACACAAGGAGAAGCAATGAACTTGATAAAAAATAATTTTATAATATTTTGTTATATTGTGGAATATAATATGGAAAACTATTCCAATTACGTGATACAATTAGATGACTATATTAAGACTACCGAAATTTTTACTAAATATATCAAAATAGAAATCATTTCAAAATAGAAGTCACTTTGCATCAATGAAACTTGAAGGAGAAAAAAATAGGATATATTTTAATAGAGATTAATTTGTAACATTTTCAATCTCGAGTTTAAGATTTTCTTTTGCTCCTAACTATGAAATTCAAATGTAACTCAAACTGCCTAAAATTATTATGGAGTTTCGTAATGTTCTTATAAAAGCCAATATGCTTTAGATTTGAGTATTTTCTAATACGATTTGGGTATTTATCGCTTTATATTTTTTAGTATTCATATTTACATATATCAATTTTTTTATTTTCCGCATTTTTTTTTGAAATTAGAATTTGAGAATATTGAACAATAATAAAACTTACCGTGTCAGCAGCTGTTAAATTAATTCCTAAACCACCAGCTCTAGTGGAAAGTAAAAATACAAAAATGTCTGCTCTTGTTTGAAAATCAGCGACCATATCTCGACGAGCTGATATTTTACTTGAACCATCTAACCTCATATATCGATATTTTCGGTGCCACATATACTCCTGCAAAAAAAAAAAAATTAATTCTAAACAAAAGATCTACAGAAATATTTTGATATTCGAACGCACTTCTAACAAATCAATCATTTTTGTCATCTGAGAATAAATTAATACTCTATGACCTTGTGATTTTAACCTAGTTAATAAGCTATCTAATACAGATAGTTTTCCAGCATCCGATATTAATGTTTGTTTATCCGGTATTGTTATCCATGACCAACCTGTATCGGGTTTACATTCAGCAAGAATATTATCAACTAATTCTTTTCCTTCAAAATCTTCGCATGTTATGTGACGAATATAATTAGTTTCAGCAGCTCTACTTTCACAGCTATATAATTAAAATATATTATTTATTAGTAATTTTAATAAATTATTAGTGAAGAACTGTGGTTTGATTCCTACTCACTATGGTCTTCTGCCATATGCTTGAACTTTGGGACCAATATTACACAAAAATTTTGGCAAAACAATTCCTTCACATTCGTATGTTTTTGGCTGTCGGGGAATATATGGAAATTCTGGCAGTAAAGTTGTAGCTCCCGGAGATTTTGGCGATTTTTCAGCATATTTCGGTGGTCTTCCAACTTTGTTTGGAGAGGGAATGTTTTTAACGTCTTCATTATTAAATGATTTATCGTCATCTTCCACTTTGATTTCAGTTTTAACAGGATCTACAAAATCTATTAAAGATTTTGAGTCAATCTCCCGATTGCGATTTCTACTACGAATAACTCTGTGTTCAATCGTTTCCTGCATATTTCGGACTGTATAGCTTCCGAAGGTGTAAACCATACTTTCGTTAATGGTCTGAAAAGAACATAATAAGCTATTTTTTAAACGATTTTTGAAATTATAAAATATGTACCATCGATGTGAATAGAAAATTTTGCAGGATACTATTTCCTAAATATCTTTTATCTAAAACATTCATAAAAGTTGGTTCTAATAATAAATATTTGGAGCTTCGAAGTGAATTTAGCCAATTATAGCGATATGCAAGGATAGGCAGGAATTCGTTAAATTTACGAACATTTTCCAACCTATAAAAAGGATAAAACCAAAATTTTAACAATAATATTATTTATGTGTTATATTCTTACAGTAATAAAAGTCCGTTTAGGGTTGAGTCTTCTATTTCTTTAGGTGAATGATTCGTAAATCTTGACCACGAAAATGAACTACTTAAATTTAAATCTATATAATTCTTATAATTAATATTTTTATCTGTTGAAAATTTTTCGAAAATTGATCTATGTATATGTTCTGCTTTAAATATACTAAACCTAAAATAAAAATAAAATTTATAAAATGTAGTTTAAAAACTTAATATATTGGCAAACCTATTATATAGTAAATGCTTTCTGCTTGGTATAGATGTTAATAATATTCCATCATCATAAATTAGCCTTGGTATAATATATTCTTGACATTTCATTGAGAATGGACTTTTTGCATCTCTTCTTTCAAACAATTCGGGATGATTACAAACTTTTCTGAATTGCATAACTAAATTCATAAGATTTGAAGTAAAATTTTTATCCACGTGATGTCCTTCAGCACCAACACAATGCAATAGATCTTCTATTTTAATTTTCTTTTTTAATGCCATATATAATAGCTTTTGCCGTGTTGTAAGCGGGCAATATACCATTATTTCAATCTTATCAGAAAGTTCATTCTCCACATCTTTTTTAATACGGCGCAACATAAATGGTTTTAATATCATATGAAGTCGCGATATTTGTTTTTCATCAATCCCAGTCTTATTTTCAGCATGACTTTCGATATCTTTGGAAAACCATTCGTTGAATTCATCATGAGAATCAAATAATGTAGGCATAATAAAATGCAGTAAAGCCCATAATTCAGCCATACTATTTTGAATAGGAGTACCACTTAATAACAGTCTATTTCGACAATTGAATTGTAAAAGCAATTTCCAACGTTGCGAGGAACTACTTTTAATTGCTTGTGCTTCATCTAAAACCATATACTGCCATTTTATCCTATTGAAATATTTATAATCTGAAACCACGAGTTGATAACTAGTGATCACAACGTGAAAACTTGCATCTTTTGTATGTAGATCTTTTTGTTCCCAAAATTGTCTTAAAATTTTTCGTTCATTTGGGTTACCCCAATAAGGAACGACATTAAAATCTGGTACAAATCTTTGCATTTCTTGCTGCCAATTGTGCAAAGTTGAAGCAGGTGATATTATTAAAAATGGTCCCCATACTCCATAACGTTCAGCTATATGGCAAAGTAAAGCAATTGATTGTACAGTTTTTCCTAAACCCATTTCATCCGCTAGAATGCCACTAATTCCCTGATCGTACAAATTTGCCAACCAGGTCATACCTTTTATTTGGTAGCCCTTAAGGGTTCCTGTAAATAAATGAGGCTGAGGAAGTTCTGCGATACCATCATCACCTATGGTCGGAGCTACTTTTTTTTCTTCTGCTGCAACATTAAATTGTTGCGTTCTAGCTTTTTCTGCGCTAAATGCATCTTCAGCATTTTGTTGAGCTTTTAATTTCATTAAATCTGAATCATAGTCGTCAATAGCTGCCAGTCTTGGATTCAATTCTTCATCCAATTGTTGCAATATTCTGATTTGTTCTTCTTCTGTTCCGTGTCCCAATTTCTTAGACATAAAATGCGCATACAATTCTGTTTGAGTTATTAAAAAATTTAATTTCCTTTGCTGACGTTTTGCTTCAATTATTTCTACATCTAACTTTCTCTGTTCTTCAGCCTCTTTCTCCATTCTGCGTCTATTTTCTCTTTCAACACGATCATAACGTTTCCAATAACCTTGCATTTCCCTAGTTAATCTCTTTGCTCTCCAAACTAAATCTTTCATAAGTTTTTGTGAAGCCATGGCTTTTTGTCGAGTTATTTTCATACACATTGTAGCAACCCTTTTACAACTTTGGAGCATTTCTTTGTGATTATTGACCTTGGCTCTTTGTACTTTACCTAATTCCTTTTTTGCCATTGTCTGCCAAGCCCTCCGCCTCCTAACGGCCATGAGTTCCGGAGTCATCTTTAATGATTTCTTCTTTCTTCCTCTTCCACTGCCGGGGAGCCCTAAACCGCCCTGAGTATCATCGTCATCTACTTCTTCCTTAATTTGTAAACTTGAATCTTCCCAATCTAAATCGGGAATATCATTTGGATCGATTTCTCCTGGTTCCGTCTGGTTAGGTTTATTAACATTTTTATCCTTATGACTTTTAGTTTTGTGTTCTTTAATTTTCTTTTCGCGTTCTTTTCTTCTACGTTTCCTTGGACCTACTATTGAGCGCTGATGATCTGGAAATTGATCGTAATTTGACAGTAGACCTGCACCGTAATAGGCGTACTGAGAATTCTACAACGAAAGAAACTTTCAAAAATTTCGAAGTCTCATATATCTAATTTCTGGAACCTACACTTGGCTTTTTATAATATTTTTCTCTAAATTTTTGTTCCATAATATGCTGTTTTAACATAATTTTAATATAATCATCTTCGTCTGAAATATCGGATTCACTTTCGGTATCACTTAAAAGCACATCCTGCAACCATTTACGTTCAGCATCGATTTGGGAGAAATTGAAAACTTGAAGTTTATCAGCTCTCCGTTCTAAAATTTATTATATTAAAAACTTTTCTGTATGTATCAATTATATATAAAGTAACCTTGTTTAGATAGTTTAAATCCCCCAACCATTTTATCACCTTGATGCATTTCTTTACCATTTTCAGAATCATTTGAGTCACTATCACTTACTATTGGTCGGGATAAGACATGATGTGCATATGCCATAAAGGAGCCCATATTCAAACTAGCTTCAAGCCTTTGTATATGAAGTGGATTGGCGAATTTCTTTTTTTCAAATAATTCACCATTTTCTTCAACTGCAGACGATCTTTTTATATTCATTTTTGCAGAGTGACATTTACTTTTTCTTCCAAATCTATAGAAATATTTATTGTTTTGCTGTATATTTTGTTTCAAATTTTTTGTTTACATCAAAACAACCGAACAACTTACTGACTTTTTATTATTCTTCAGAATTTTGTACAGTAAATTTACTTTTCAAAATGGAGACAACATAGGATGAGAAAATATCTTTGCTGTCAATTATACAATCGCAAGCTCAAAACCATGCGATTTTATAATTTATTGTAGAAATGAAGCCAAAAACATTTTTGTCTTGTTTCTTTTTTGTTTTGACGTTTTTTAGCGGTAATGGTGTCATGTTGACAGTTGAAGTATACATATCCCTACAGATGCATCACAAATGTGTCGCTCATTTTGCAGGGATATGTAATAATAGAACAGCACATTTTGTTAAAAACACAATATGCTACTTTTTTAGAAAATTGTTTATTAAATAATATGTTCATTTTTTTTAATGTATAATGTTGTACAACTCTTTTCAATATTTATGATACTTCATGCATATAATTCATAAACAACTTTGATTTTGTGAACCTTTGTATTCAAATAATGCGAAAACACAAAATATTGAACATGTTTGCAACATTTTCTACACTGATTAGCAACTAATATCTCCGTATATAGTATATACTAATAAACTAAATCTCCGTATATACTGTACTACAGAATGAAATAATATTACGTGAAATCGACTTGAATTTGACAATTAAATTCCATCATATCCACTACATTATAATATCCACCTTTCAATCAACGTATACACAATCGATTTTCGAGCTATTAATTTTATCGAATCGATTTGACCTGAAAAGTCAAGTATCGTTTATATTAGCTTAAATTCGCTTGGAGTCGGTTTCAAGCTGCATATAAACGCAGCATAAGATAAGCTTGAAAACATGTCGAAAGATTCGTTTGTGCAACCACTTGCTTGATTGCTATCAAATTGGAAAAAATTTTGCAGTTTCCACTTTGCGCAAAAATTATGTATACTCTTACTATACTACAGAAAAAAACTTACTTTAAGATACTCCGCTTGATAACATTCACATAATTATTTATAATAATTGTATACATAATTATTTGGCGATGATTTTACTTGTGCTATCAAGACTTGTAATTAAAAAGAACACATTTCGATATTCACATTATCGAAAAAAAAATAAGTTAAAAAAATGGCACATTCAGTTGAATACTTTTTTAGACAAATTTAAAAACTTTTTTATAAAAATTAAAATTTTAATATTATACACATATAGATTGACACTTGTTGAAAAAACTAAAATTTTTGCAAATTAGTACGTATTATTCTATTATATGGTTTCCGTCTTTGCTAGCTCAGAGCTTAACTAGTGATTTATGAACAAAACTTAATAAACTGTGATATACGTTTATGTATTTTGATTTTTTGAAAATTTTCAGAAAAAACCAAAAAAATTATTATTTTTATATTTCAAAAACAATTTTAAAAAAATGACACAAAACAAAATATATGTACATATGTATGTATAATTTAAAAATTACAATATAAAAAGAATCTCTTAGAGTGCTCCAGCAGAGGGCGAGTAATAAAAAAAGAAGAATAAATAAAATGTGAAATTAGTTCTTTATTAGATGCAAGTTATTGGTAAAAGGAAAATAAAATGAATTAATAAAGCATTTTTTTGAAAATTGAAAAAAATAATTGAAAAGCAAGTTTTTAAGACAGCAAAGTAAGTACATTTGCGTAAAATTAACGTTATTTATGTTAAAAAAAATTCTTCTTCTTCTTTGGCTCTACAGCTCCTGGTAAGCTCCTGGCCTTCTTTACTATTTGCTCCCATATTTCTCGATCTTTAGCCTCTGTTTTCCAGTTTCTGACTTGAAGTTTAATGGTGTCATTTTTAACATTGTCTTCCCATCTCGTTCTTGGCCTTCCTCTGTTGCGATTAAATGTAGGTTTCATTTTTAATAACAATTGCATCCTTGCACTCCCGATCAAACCACTCTATATTACGCTCTGTTTGTTTTTAGCCTACTATTTCTTCTGCTGTTCTCCTCATCGCATTTTCCATCTGATCCCATTCTTCATCGATACTTCTTGCGTTATTTATTTCACCTTCAAGTCTTCTTTCTACAATATTACGGAAATTCTCATTTGTACCTTCATTTTTTAAATTATCCGTATTCCATTTTCTTCTTTTTACTCCTTTCTGCTTTACTACATTGGAGATTCTCTGTCGCAGTTTTGATACGACCAGAAAATGATTGCTGTCACAATTTGCACCTTTGTAAGTTCGCACATCAATTATTGATGTTGCCCATCTCTTTGATATTAGTACATGATCTATTTGGTTCACTACATTTCTTTCTGGAACCTTCCATGTTCCTTTATGTATATTTTTTCTTTCAAAAGCTGTACTCCTTATTCTTAGATTATTCTCATTAGCAAATTGATATAAACGCCTTCCATTTTCATTCGTCTCATTGTGCAACGAAAATCTTCCAGCCACTTGTTGTATACACCGTTCCCTACCAATCTTCGCATTTAGATCACCTGCTATAATTAATGTATCATAGTCAGGTATTCCTTCACATAAATTGTTCAATTCTTCGTAAAATTCATCCTTTTCGTCATCATTTGCTTCCTCTGTAGGGGCATATACAGATATGATTGTTATATTATTAAATTTTCCCTTAACTCTAATGCTACACATTCTCTTGTTGATCGGTGTGAATGAAACCTGTGCCGCACATTCCAGATCTAAAATTATCCCCGCTGTAATATATAGAGAAATCGGGTTTATTTATTTTTCCATATCCCATCCATCTTATTTCTTGTAAAGCTATTATATCTAAATTGTTTTTCATCATTTCACTTGCAATTTCGTTCATTTTTCCAGGTCTCATCGTAGTCTGAACATTCCATGTACCAATTTTCAAATCATGTCCTTTTAAACGTTTCCGGGTCTGTGATCTGTTGTTTCCATCGTATATCCGAGGCATTCCTAAAGAGTTCGTAACTGGTTTGGTTTTTACAGGGTTGGGTAGTTAGCCCCACGCCTAACCCCCATCTTTGGAGGGCCATCTTGTTATCACTGGGTATTTAATCCAGGATGTTTTTCGCTATGGTTATACCGCCAATACTCGGTCGCCCTATCCTCATTTGTTTTAAACAGGCTTCACCACGAGAAGGTTGAGGTTGGCAATTAGTTCGGAGAGGCTATGTTTTCGCATCCTGAACTTTTGAAGCCCAGTCAAAAAAAATAAATATAAAAAATCTAATAACAGATATGTAAAAGCCATGGAAAAAAGAATAAATTTGAATTTCGAAAAATGTGTACATATTTTGAAATCTTTTTCAAATATGCATACATAGATAATTGAATTAAGTCAGCAAATCTGAGTCTCCCGTACGGATTTCAGAAAAAAAGGTTTAGGTTTCAATATTTTTTACATACTTATATGTACGCTTTTAATCGGTACACATTTGGTTTTGTTTTCAGACAAAATGTAAGCATGGATAAATTTTCATAAATCAAACGCGATTAATAAATATTTTGTGAATTGTGAATATTAAGGTAAATCACAATGTTTTCATAATTGAATATATTTAGGTACATGTAGAGATTTCTATCGTTTGGCAAAAATGGCACAGAAAACAACTCTGTCACCTCTACTTGGAGTTTACAAAATATAACCTATACGTTGCATATTATGTTGATGCATATTACGTGAAACTATATAATAATATGCATTCTTAATTTTTTATCGATACAATATACAACAGCATGTATTATACAATACTCTATTGTGGTTGTGTTCTTTTCATGTGCACGAATATCTTATATATAAATATACGTTACGTAATTTATACATTGTTGATGTTCTCTCAGTGTGTGTATGTACATATATAAACTGTACTCAATATCATAATAATAGGCATATAAAATATTTAAAATATGGAAATGCTAGTAATTGTTAAACAGGTAGGTAGGCAAATAATGTTTAAGAAAACTTTACACAATGTACTATTTTCCAAATATTTGAAATTGTAAAAGCTTTTTTTTTTAACAAAATAATGTTAAAGCTTTTTTTTAATGACGTAAGCCAACCTGTTAAATACTCATAATATACATTTATTATTATATTTTTAATAGCAAAAAGCAACAGGCCTTAATAAAAATTAATACTCATGTTACTTTTATAATGGAGATATATATGTACACATTTAAGTTGTTTTCAGAAAAAAGTTTTAGCTTATACTTTAAAGGAACTCTTTTAAAGAACCATGTACACATATTTTAAGTTACATCATTTTTACTATTAAGGATACATAATGTTAAAAAATATCGAAAAAAAAGTTGTACAGAAAACCTATATAAAAGAAAACATAACACAATGAAATGATGAGTTGACGAGTCCCGTTAAAGGTCATCGTTAAACTTTTAGAGAAAGCTTTTGCATTGGCTCGTAAAATTTCTCTCTGTTAAAATATCGCTCAAATATTTTATACTCTGGGAGTGGTTTTCTCTCCTACGCAAAAATTAAATCTGATTTTTCAAATTTTTATTTATTATATTTTATTGTTATAGGTATTTTTTTTGTTACATTAGAGTTTGTGTTGAGGTATGTTTAAGTATAAACAATTTGAATGATGAATGACATATTTGATGAAGGTTTCTTTAATGTGCCTAGGTATATTGTGTTAAATTTAAGGAGACACAGCAAATTCATATGATATCTAGTAGCAACTATAACCTATTTAATTTTTCATATTGAGAAAAATTTAAAACAATTTCGAAAATACTATTTATGTATTGGGATTTTCTAATTAAATTTAATTTTTATCTCAATTTACATACAATTTTACATACATACATAATATTCCGTAGCATCCCATTTCAATTTTTGATTTTAGCTTTCCTGAACATACATAAATTCAAGACGCATAATAATAAAAAAATGTAATCATGTCTTATACTATGTCGTAACGTATTCAAACATTAAAACTAAAAGCAGCCTTGTCCAAGTCATTTTCCATTACGTTATCTTTGAAGCGAATACTTGCAAATTTATTTTCTAGTTGCAGAATTTATGTTTATCCACAACAAAATATCATTAAATATTTATTAAATATTTGTAATGTTATTTTGACGAATAGATCTTATAACTACTTCCAATAATTTATTTTGAATTCTCATGTCGTTTTTGACTAAAATGTGCAAAAGCTGACATTACAAGCTGGTTTCATGAATTTTTTCTTTTTTGCATAAATTCTGTATAATTAACTAATAAGAACCAACTTAAATTTTCTTTGCCAACTAGAAGATTTTAATTTTAAGCTAGAGCCTTTTATACATTGGCTTTCTGCATTCTGTTATTTTGTAATATTGTAAAGGTAATATGATAATTTTTTCTACTTGAAATTGCGATAATGCCATCGTTACGCCCTTTATTATTTGTTTTAACTTAACGCATTACGTATATTCATATTTTGTTTCCTTAACATTTTGTTTATAGCTTGGCATATTTAGTAATGGTATTACTGGTTATTAAAAATGTACCATAAATTTATATAAAAAAAGCGAAAAAATATAAAGATAGAGATTTTTGTGAACCCTTACATTTTATTATAATAATTTTTATCATATTTGCTTTTCTTAAATGTTAATAATATTTTGGTAATCATCACCTTTTATTCATAAAATACCTTTTATAAAATTCAATTCACTCACGTCATTCATATCCTTGCTCCTTGTCATTGCAATTATTCATTTTTGTTTACACAAAATAAATATTAAATAAGTGCAAATGCTTATTAAAATGTAACATTAATTGAAAGGTTATGATTTTTTCCAAAAAGAAAAAAAAAACTATAAATAATGAAAAAATCAATTTTGTGAATGTGGTTTTTTAATAACAGTGAAGATATAAAAAAAAATATTTTTCTTTCATAAAATTGATAATAATTTTACGTTTTATGTTGAAATTTTCGGTTTCCTCGAAAATATGTGTGTAACACAATATGAAGGCAACATTTTAATAACTGTACTCTTTCTGTACAATAATATAATGCAATCTATAATTATAAATAAATGAAGACATAAATGAATTTCATTCATGAATTTGATAAAATTTATTTTCTGTTTTTTTCTTCATTTTATTCTTATTTTCGTTCTCTTCCAAAAACTTTTTTTGTTCTCTGTTCAATTTTTTTTTTGTATATGTATGCGTGAGAATATAAATTCAACAAAAGATATTTATTTCCCTTTGGAAAATTACGAATTGCAGAGTTACCATACACACTCAAGAAAATTTTTCCTATAACATATTTTTTTTATGTTCCTAATTAGTACGTTAAGGAAAATTCAAAGGAAAATTATGTTCAATTTCATACCACTTCTGGTTTGTAATTCAATCTAGCACATTGAATATAAAATCGTAGAAATGTCTGCGTTTAATTTTTTAATTTTAAAAATTTCTAATTTTGAAAAATTTTGGTTAGAATCGATATTACTTGTAAAGTTGATTTCCACTTAATGTCCTGATGTCCGGATAAAATTATTTATTACCTTACCACTAATTATAAAATTTTAAATTTAAAGGTATGCAAGGTTTTCATAATTAAAATATAATGTTGAATAATATGACCACACATGTTTTTATATATAGTTTTGAATTCAAACTGCCCTATTAAATAATTATTGAACGATTCCATGGGGTAATGCTATAATTATTGAGATGTCCTTTTCTATTTCTAAAAAAAAGTGTATTAACTTTGTAGTGTACGTATGTATTTGTTTTTATACCTTATCCTGTTACATTTTTGTTTTATTTTCCTTTCTTTATTTTTCAGAGAAATTTGCCTATATATTAAGTGGCAGAAAAGCTTTTTCAAAATCAGTCGAGTTGGTTACTTCTAACGAGTAAGTCGTAAAAAACAGCAAATTTCTAATAATTAAAAAATAAAATAAATAGCATAAGAACCGAAAAAAAAATATTCACATTATTATAAATTATTTCTTTTTATAAGTTAAGGATAGTTCTGGGTTTCAAAGCGTGTTGTCTAAAGCAAGAGCTTGTTAAGTTCAAAATTACGTAAAAAAGAATAATTTTGTATTTGAGTTGAGTTAAATGAAGTAAATAAAAAGATAAAGGAACACAAACTTTTCATATTACTTGCACTAATACACTTGTAATTTAATATTAAATTTATTAAATTTGTTGGCTAATTTAATAAATTAATAGGTTAATCAAATTACTTTCGTGGAAAGCTTTTGATACCTTTATATATTTTTTACTTAACATCATGTTTTGTAATTCTAAAATTTATTAATAATGTAATCCGAACACACTATTCAAATATAAAGTGATGTTATAGCCCCTAAATTAATCATGTTTGTTATTAATATTAAAAAAAATTTAAAAGTTATTTATAGAAGGGACTTGGTTTAGATTTGAAATGTAATGTGTCTATAATTTACGGTTCAATATTTCAAATTCTGTTTAAAAAGGTGGTTAAACAAGTGGTTAAAAAATTTTTAAAATAATTTGTAATTTTCATTTAATTTTTAATTATTTCAAAAAAAAAAATATTTAACCTGAAATTATTCGAATCTTAGATAGTCATTTTTTTTCATTTGAATATTTTTAAAACAAACCACCTCAGAAATTTCTTTTTTCCCTTCAATTTATTATTACTTCATTTAATTTTTGTAATGGGAAAGAGTATAAGTGAACAAGGCTTAATAAAATACCATAGTTTTATAAATTTCTTTGATTAAAAGTTATTTTTTAATTAGCTATATTGTTTATTGGGCATAATAAATTCGCATGTATTTCATTTTATAATTTAATTACTGTTGTAAAATATAATTTAGGAAATTTATTAAATTTGCATTATTCATTTTTTTTGTATAAATTCATTAATATTGATGTGTTGATAATAAATTTTCATAAAACAACTATTTTTAATTTATACTTATAAATAAATATCTCGTACTTAATATCGTTTCAATTTTTTTTTTCAAATTCTAATCGTTTTTATTGGAAAATACACCTGTCAGGCTTACTTCAAATTCCTCGAACTTAAAATGGGAATAGTAACATTTTCACAATTATGTTCAAAATAATATTCGTATAATTTATATATTTCTATGAAGTTTAGATGAATGGCTATCCGAGTAATTATTACCAAGTTCATCGCAATAGAAGATCTTGACATAAATTAAGGAGTTAAAATGAAACTTGAAAATTAATTTTATAATTTCTTTGTTAAACATATAATATTCATTCCATCACGCTCAGAAACCCAGAAATATGGCTTCTCTTTATCTATTTAAGTATGAAAAAAATATTTAATAATAAAAGTTTACCTTGCATTAAAAAATTATCCTATTAATTTTTTTTCTGCTTTTTCTTAGAGTGATTCAACAATTTTTTTTTATAATTAAATAATAACTAAAACATGATTTAACTTTTATAAGGGACACATAAGTTAATCATGTAAGTGCTACGAGTATAAAATTGTATAAAATAATTAAAAAAATAATATAAAAAATAATTTTATACGAATACGAAGTTTAAGTACGTAGTGTGCTTTTATTTTCTTTTAAAAACAATATATCAGCAAATTAAAAAGAAATTATTTCAAAAATTTATTAAAAGTTAATTATTTGATAAATTTTATAAAAATTTTATTTTAATATTTCTAATTAAAGTTTAAAGCATATTTTTTTCATTAAGTTCGACTCAATATTGACTTTATACATATAAAGGAGATTATTTCGAAGAATCCAAAATTAAATTATAATTAAAATAGTGAAAAACGTGAAATACATATATTTAGTAATATATTGTTCAAGTGTATAACATTAAAAGTGGAAGTAGAAAACATTTGTTAACAAATTTTAACAATATAAAAACTTTTCTCATTAAATTAGAAAAAAAAATAATTGATTTTTTTTTATTTTCATTGATTTGTGCTCTATTTTTACCTTAATTTTTTTTTTCGGTCACAATAAATTCAAATAATAATTATTGTCGTCCTAATAAATATATATTGATAAATTACAACTACATAATAAATTATATAACATATTATCATCATTTTATACATACATATGTATATTATATAACTTGATTCGCCACAAAGTTTAATAAGAACAGAAAAGAATTCATTATATACATACATATATGAAATTCATATGATTCAGAAAGAAAGAATATAAAATTATATTACTATATACATACATATATGGTAATATAACAATTATATAATATATACTTATTATATACAACAACGTAAATAATATAAAATATTGAATTATAAAATAAAGAAGAGTTAAAATAAAGTTGAAAACAAGAGTGGAAAATTCTTAAGTGAAAAAACAAAATTTATATTGTGGTTATACCATTTATATACATATATACATATGTATATACAATATACATTGAAATAACCAAAAATAATAAAAAAAAGGATAACAATAAGAATACAAAAACAAAAAGTATTTTATTAGACGGTGGTATAAATGTTTATGTGCATGAGTTTCACATATTTAAAGTATAAATAAACGCAAATGAAATTATAACTACAAAAACATATATACATATATATATATATATATAGTACGAACGTATATGCCTATAAAAAGCCTTAAGCCTTTTTAAGTTTATATTTTGTTTTGATTCTTCTTTTCTTCTTTTTCATACACACATAATAAAATTTGCTTGGTTTGAGCTCCTTTGCAAAAAAAACGTCATTTTATTTATTGTTTAACATTAAACGTGCAAAAAAAGTAACTGTATAACAAAACCATAAAATTTTCTTATATTTTTTCTTTTGCATTGTTTTCAAACTTTCTTTTGCCAAAAAAAAGAGAAAAATAAAAGACGGTTGAAACTTGAGTTTTTTTTTCTTATAAATATTTGTTTTTTGATTTTATATTTGTATTAACGAGTTAAAGAAGCAAGACAAAGAAAAACATTGATTATTTGAGAACGTTATAATAATACATAATAATTATGTTGAAAATATTGGCTTGGTTTTTATTACCATTTGGTGTATTTTTTACAATACATCCATCAATGGTAGCTGGTATCGATTTGAGCCGATTATATGGACATATGGGCCCACCGATGCAGAAACGTACAGGTAAGTTACTATTTATATCTAATTAAAATACATTAAGAAATATTATTAAATATCGTTAGTGGACAGTATAACAGATATGGTGAAGCATGGCATATGTTTTATGCCAAACCTAAAATTGTATATCTGGGTTTTGTTCTGTTACGCTATGTATACCTTAATTGAGTATCTAAGAATTATTGCAAATTTCACAAATTTCACATATGTAGGTTATGAAACTTAAATTTCCATGCAAAAGAACAAAATTAGTATAAAAGTACCGGAACTTTCAAAATTGTATATATTCATAAAAAATTGTTATTAAATTCAGTTTTATGTTATATTAATTTAATATTAAATAATTTTTATTATTATTGTAAAGTACAAAATTATACTAAGGGTCCGTTGTTTAATACTATTATACATTAATGAGTGTATTATATAAATAAATGCTACGCTATGCAACGATATTTTATAAGAAAATTTTTTAAGACTGCTATACTCTTTCCCATTACAAAAATTAAGAATATATATGTATAAAGATTTTCTCTTTAATTCTATATTGAAGTTATCCATCTACGAGAAGCTTGTCATTCATCATATAACTCATTGTTATACTATATATATTTAAAAAAAAATTGCATATTTTTAGGTCAAAAAGAAATTTGTTTTTTGATTGCAAATTTGGGACTTTTTCTTAGTTACATTAAAAATTTCTATTTAACGTTACTTTTAATAATTTATAAAAATTTGATAAGACTAGCTTAGGCTTATGTATTTTTTTTTACACCATTTTATCAAAGATAATACGATAATACAAACTTTACATGCCCGAAAATTTTATTTTTATCAAATTCGTGTGGGTATGTTGAGGGTAGTATTTTTGTTTTAGTTGGATATATTAAAGTGGATAAATTTCAAAAGTTTTTTTTACTTACTTTTCTTAACTTTTTGTTTTAGTAAAAAACAGAAAAGAAATCCGAAAAAAAATTAGTTTTTATAAATTTTTTTTTTAAGAGAAATTATTAAAAAGGAAAACTTAAATAAGAAAAAGTCTTGAAATATTATCGTAGACTTACCAGAGACTTTTCAATTCTAATAGTAGGAAATATTGTACGTATTAGTGTAAGTTTTCTAAATATTTTTAAACAAAGCAATTACATAATAATTGTTTGTCATTTCAGTTATGATTAACGAATATCAAAATTCAATATGAAGCCTTATTTTTTATTAAAGCTTAATTTTTATGTGTATAACATTACATAATAACTTTCTAATTGTCAAAATATTAAGATTTTAATATAAAACAATTAAAAAAAAGCAGTAAATTGTCTAAAACTGTAAAATGAATTTAATTTAAATTCATTACATTAATTTTAATATGCAGACTAAAATGTCAAGTTCAATATTTCGAAGAATGAAACATTTTTTAATATAAAAGTTTTTAAATTTGTTTCTCATTTCCCCAATGAGATCCCAAAAATAATTTTGATAATTTTACAAACTATTTTTGAAATTATATTTTTTTTTCTAAATTTTTCGCTTTCCTATAATAAAGTTTTTATAAAAAGAAATATAAAAAAAAAAGGCATGAAAAAGAAAATAAAAAGGAAGTAGGATAATGTTTTTTTTAAATAAGGAATAAAAGATTTATTCGTAATTTTTTTTTCTCTTATGTTATAGGTTTTGTTTTGTTTTCAATATTTTTTAAAGTCCTTGAACCACTTCTGTTTCATAATTGACTTTTGGATTAAGAAGAAAACAAAAAAAAAAAATTTCTTTTTGTGGCGAAGTCATTTTAGTTATTTAAGCATTGAATTTAACAAAAAACAAATCTCAATAAAAATATTGATTTAGTATTGTTTAATAAAATTTTATGAAAAACTTTTATTCAGATAAGTAAAATTACTTTTCATAAATTATAAAATATGTAGCCTACGTTCATAAAATTTCTGTAAATTTAAAATTCTATAGACTTACTTAACGTACTCTTGGTTAAAACTCGTAAATTTATTTATAATTAAGCTATTAATGTCAAAATAAATTTTACTGAAATCTTTAACACTTCATGTTTGAACCAAAATTATCAATTATTTTTGAATATTTTGAATAAATATGTTCATATTGTACTTGGAATTTATTATTCGTAACATTCATTTCAGATTTTTTTTTTATAATTTAAAATAAATTAATATTCGTTGCCGAATAATTTTATTTTCGTGTAATATTTATACTGTAAATTTACAAGATATTGTCTAGTAAATTTACAAGATATTACAAGAATTTTAAAGTTTGAGTTGACTTCTCAATAAATTTTTTGCAATTCAAAAATTCTATTTAAATTTTAATTGGTTATTAAAAACCAAAAAAATTAATTTCAAAATAAATTAGAAAAGGCTTTTATTTTACTTTTGTAATTATTTTAGAACCATTGAATTTTAATCAACTTAAATTTATGATTTTCAAAGAAATTTAATTTTTATTATATTTATTCATGAATGGAATAAGTATACTTTTCAATTATAATTTTGGTACTTTTGGGAAAAGAAAAACATTTATTAGTTTCATCCTGTCTGTCCGTCTATTAACAAAACTTCTGCACCGTTCGTATTTATAAAAAATCGTAGTGAAACTTTCAAAAGTTCTGATGTAACCCTTCTCCATTCAAACATATTTACTTTTTAACACCAGCGTAATTTTTTGAATTTTGTCATTTAGGTGAAATTTTCCTTTACATTATATTATAACTTCTTAATTATTTCTATATATGAACAGTATTGACCATTGATAAAAACTTCAATATAATCATAAAATGTAATAAACTTTATATGTTTTCTATTTTGATTGTATAGCCAACTAATAAGCAATTTATCAAAGTGAAGAAGACCAAAGTTAGCATCAAAAAATGTTAAAAATTTTTAAATATTTTTTGAATAGAATTAAAAAATAGAATAGAATTAAATAGAATTAATTTTTTTCTTTTTATTTTCATATTTTTCTATTAATAAAATTAATAGAAAAATATGAAAATAAAAAGAAAAAAATTTATAAATCTTTATTTAATTTAGTCCTTTTCAATTTAAAAGAAAATATTTTCAATGAACGCGCAATGATTAACCTTGAAATATTCTTGAACTTAAACCTGTAACATTATTTGAATAAGAAAAATTAAAATGAAAATTATTATAATTTCTCTATAATATTGCAAGCGGGTTGGAGGCTCTACAGTAAAAATTTATGGTAATTTTAAGGAATTTGTACCATTACGTTATGATAGGGAGGAAAAATTCTATACAAATGTAAAATTTTCTTTTTTCCTACCAAAATTACATTGAATCATAATGATGAAAAAAACAAGAGAAAAATGAAATTCATTTAATCAAGATTTTACATAATTTTATTTTTGGTAAAGTAAGTATTATAACGATTATGAAACATATTATTTTTATAACCTCAATGGCTCGCAACACAAATTTACGCGATGGAAAGCTTATTATTAGTTTCTTTTTTTTTTAATTTCACAAAATTTTTTTTATCTGTTTTTCTTAAACTTTTTATATAATATGTATAACAAAATTTTATGTACAATCAGTATATATATGAATTTGATAATAATTCAGAGGTGAATCTTTTTCAAAGTTTGAAAGGATTTGCCTAAATTAAATTTAGTCCTTATTTGCGTTTCTTATTCACAGACAGACTCTTGCAATTCAGTAAGTTGTGAATTTTCCTAAAAAATAGTACATAAAAATTAATCTTTAATTTTTAAATATAGTAAAATGTCAACTAAAATTCTTATATTTCATTTTAAAATAACTTCAAAATATAGCAGAAAATATTTAATCCTTGCTTGAAACAATGTTCAATGTTCCAACATATACACACATTTACATGCAATATATTTCTAACATATATCAAGACTTTGACAGTAGCCAAACGATATTAAAACGTTTAAAACAGAACGTCTTAAGGAATATTATTAATATATTCGATTTAACTAATTAGTTAGAAATAAGTTACTAAAATATGCGGGCTCTAAAAACACCTACATATCCCGTGCATTAATGACTTAAAATAAAGATTTACTGAACGTGTATAGCACTGATGTATTGTAATTTTATTTTACACATCTTCTATGTTACAGCTATTTTTGAATTCTTATCGTTCTGACAATATAAAGCAATAAAAAAACACAAAAAAGAGAGAGAAAGGAAAAAAAACAGATTATATTAAATAACTTCCTATTATCATTTTACGTCGGCTTAAGTAAATGAGAATAATGATTTTTTCTTTTCTGTTTCTTTTGCTTTTTAATTTTTTTTTTTTTGTAAAATTACAATACTTATTTGACTGAAGTTAAAGGAAAGTGATGTTAAGAAAGATTTAAAATTATTGTAAATACCTGTAGAAAAGAATGGCGGTAGCTGGTGTGAAAAAACATCACATAGAAAAGAAAAGAAAAAAAAATAAAAATTCTGTAATTTTTATTTCAACGAGTGAAAAATACAGTCTATGCTGATTTTGCGCTCGTTCCTTTTGGTATACATAGTTTATTCTAAATCTTTACACGTACATACATACATATACACATGCATATATATATATATACGTGTTCTAATAATACACCATCAAGGACAAAGGCAATAACTACCTTTTATATGTTTTTCCTTTTTTTTTTGTGGTTATTTTCTTTGGGCTTCGATTTTTCTTTTAATTTTTGTTTCGATTTTTTGCTCCTCTATTTATAATATAATATAGTAAAGTTCTGGGTTTCAGCACTTTATGACTTTATGGTTGTATCAAGATTTAAAATTTTACCATTGAATGTAGGTCAAAAGAGGTACGAGGCTAAAAGCGTGCTTAGATTAAAGGATAAAATATTGATATTTTTCTTTATATGTTTTTTTTTCATATAATATGTAAATATGTACCTTTAAATATACGTATGTTTAAGTATATATTATTATTTTCGAAATTGTATGTTGTAAATGTTATATACAACATACTAATGTTCGGGCTTAATA